CTCACCACGTGTATCGAAACCCGGATTCTAGCGTTGTAAGTCCGCACACATAACACTGTGCCACTGGGGGGCAAGACTGTGAGTTACATGAAAATTTTCGAGAAAAAAAGCGGACCCAGCGATTTACTTTATTTCAATGATTTCAAAACAGTTACATTTTAAACTCACTTCTCCACAATATATATATATATATATAATGTAAAATGACTGAGAAAAATAAACATTTCATTAATTTTATTTAGTACAAGATAATTATTAATAACCGACTTGGCTTTAAAAATACTATATTATATATATTCATGAATAAACCTTTTTACATAACTTCACCATATAAAGGAATGTTGAAAAAGGAGACAATAAAAAAAATAAATTATAGGTGGCAGTAGCATCAGTTCTAATGTTGGACGTAGCTTCAGTTCTTTAAGAACTACATGTATATGTATGTTTCATTATAATAATAACTGCATTTAATCAAGATAGGATATGATAATGATACCGTGCTAATGGGAACGAATCACCACTTACCACAACGATTGCAATGTTCCATCACGAAGTGATCCGGACCCACTATGCTTTGTCCGAAATGCTCCACCAACACTGTACTTATTCCTATTTAGTAAGATTCTCTAAGCCTACGATGCTGTTATTGTGTACTGGAAAACTGAGATGCATTATAACATAGTAAGGATTATATCTAAATTAAACGTTGCAGGTTATGCATGTTTTCACTAGAATCTTGAAATCCATCCATTTTTCAATCTGAATTCCAAATTTTATACTTCCAATATTTCTCTTCTTCCTCGTTGTATACATTTATCCCTATGTCACAATATCCTGCACTATCTCTAATAGGGAAAATGTAAGGTACACAGGTTTCTGTTAGTTAGAGACTAGGTAGATTCAACACGAACGAAAATTCCTCCGCTAATGTGGTTGTGATGGCAGTCATCAACAAATGACGAATATAATCAAAAATAATGTAAGTCTTCCAAAAGCGTCAGATAAAATAATCGTATATAACTTTCCACATAATAAATCGTACCAGTTCATCTCAACTACTACTTATTTTAGCTACAACTTTACTCCTGCGCTATTATTATAATTGATGTGGACTAGTGGCTTTCTTGAAATGTGAATGGTATGTAAAGATAATCATTTGTAAGCACAATTAATTTTTGTAAAGGATTAGCTAACATATACAAACACTATTTCACGTGTTCTACTATTTTAAAACAAACGTTAGTTTATCTTATTATCTACATTACAATTTTTAAAGTAATCAAGTAGTTATCATACAAAAGTATACGATTTATGTCATCTTCGTCACCAAATTGGTGCTAAGACATGAGAAAACGAGGTCAATTGATTCGATCAACTTGATTTGAAAATAAACAAAGGTACTATTATAAATAGGAGCGTGGACCGTCCTCTTCCACTATTTTGAGCCGTAGCACACGAACCGTTTGTCTAATCAAAAGGTCGGTCTCACAGAAACTTTCCACCAACTTTTTCGTTCAATTAAGCTCTCATTCATGGTATTAAGCGATAAGATCGAAATGATAGATAAACTCAACTATTTCGATTATTTATCTGTTTACCTTGGATCTTTCGAAGAGTTGAAAATAGAGATGAAAAAATTAAAAGACGCCAGACACTGAACAACCTCTGTGAAAATTGGAAACTATTTCGCCTTTCTATAAAACGTACTGATGGTGTGCTTTAGTAAATTGTAGAATAGCAAAGTGCTCTCCATTTTAAACGTATATATCTAGTTAACCTAGATATATTTCCTTTGGTTACGTATAAAGCTCTGTAGTAGTGACCATGGATATCATAACTTTACTAAGATAGAATTCTATATATTAGTGACCCTGTATATCATGACTTTCGCTAGATAGGACGCTATGCAGTAGCGACTCTGTATATCATAACTTTCGTTACATAGGAAGCTCTGTAGTAATGACCCTAGATATCATAACTTTCGTTAGATAGGATTCTATGTAGTAGTAACCCTTCATATCATAACATTGATTAGATATGAAGCTCTGTAGTAGTTACCGTGGTTACCATAAAATACATCTTTCGTTATATTGGAAGATATGTAGTAGTTAACTTGAATATCTTTCCTTTCGATAGCTAGGAAGCTATATAGTAGTGACCTGTATATCATAACTTTTGTAAAATAGAAAGCAACATAGGGTTGAACCTGGATATCATAATTTTCATTACATAGGAAGCTCTGTAGTAGAGACTCTGGATATAACAATTTTCGTAATTTAGGATGCTACGTAGTAGTGACCCTAGTTATCACAGCTTTTTGTTACATATAAAGCTATGTAGTAGTTACCCTGGATATTATAACCTTAGTTAGATAGGAATACATGTAGTAGTTACCTTGGATATTATAACCTTAGTTAGATAAAACACTATGTACTAGTTACCCTGTATATCATATCTTTCGTTAGATAGGAAGCTATGTAGTAGTTACCCTGGATATTATAACCTTAGTTAGATAGGAAGCTATGTAGTAGTTACCCTGGATATTATAACCTTAGTTACATAGGAAGTTATGTAGTAGTGACCTGGGTATTATAACCTTATTTAGATAAGAAGCTATGTAGTAGTTAATCTGGGTATTGTAACCTTAATTAGACAGGAAGCTATGTAGTACTTACCCTGGATATCATAACCTTAGTTAGATAGGAAGCTATGTAGTAGTGACCTGGGTATTATAACCTTAGTTAGATAGGAAGCTATGTATTAGTTACCCTGGATATTATAACCTTAGTTAGATAGGAAGCTATGTAGTAGTTATCCTGGGTATTGTAACCTTAATTAGATAGGAAGCTATGTAGTAGTTACCCTGGATATCATAACCTAAGTTAGATAGGAAGCTATCTAGTAGTTACCCCGGTTATTATAACTTAGTTAGATAGAAAGCTATGTAATAGTGACCTGAGTATTATAATCTTAGTTAAATAGGAAGCTATGTAGTATTGACTTGGGTATTATAACATTAGTTAGATAGGAAGGTATATAGTAGTGACCTGGGCATTATAATTCTAGTTAAATAGGAAGCTATGTAGTAGTGACCTGGGTATTATAACCTTAGTTAAATAGAAAACTATGAGGTCACTACTATATACCTTCCTATCTAACTAAGGTAATAATAGGTCACTACTATATTATTACCTTAGTTAGATAGGAAGGTATGTAGTAGTGACCTGGGTATTATTACCTTAGTTAGATAGGAAGGTATATAGTAGTGACCTGGGTATTATTACCTTAGTTAGATAGGAAGGTATGTAGTAGTATTATGACTTTAGTTAACTAGGATGCTATGTAGTAGTAAATGAAAATAAACTGCATGGATTACAAACACATAACTCACTGAACGAGTTTAATAACAGATATACAATTCGGTAGCCTTACAACCTTTGAATTATAAATAATTTTTGGAATTTTATTTCAAACTGCACTTTGCTTTCTACCAGTGTAAAAATTATAGAAAACATCAGTTATAACTTATTATTTTTGTCAAATATATCCCTTTGGTGAGAAAACCTATGTAGTCTAAACTTATAATATTTTTTTCACTTTGAACACAAACTCTTTGTGCTGATTTTTTCTTTCTTATTATTATTTATGACAACTCTCTTGTCTTTTTTTTTGTTTTAATTATGGCGAGTTTGCCGATCTTGCATTTACCATTTTTTAATTTTTCTTATCGTGAAGTTCCCTCACCCGGTGAGTCAGCAGTAAATTTATGGATTTATGACGCTAAAATCCGGGGTATGATTCTCCGCGGGACAAAGCGCGTATAATCCCTTGTGTGGCTTTTAGCTAAAGTAAGCAAACAATCAAATCGTTGGCTTCATTCTATTTCCAGTTGTCTAATTTTACACAAATCTCTCTCTAGCCGAGTAGCTACTAACTACATGTAGTTCTGTTTTAAAACAATCATATTATCTCTATATCTATCTTTTTGGTGTCACGAGTTTGTTTGTTTCTATAGTTGAGCGCAAAGCTACACAATGGGCTATCTGTGATGTGTCCACTACGGGTATCGAAACCCGGTTTTTAGCGTTAAAAGCCTTCAGACTTACTGCTATGCCGTTAGGGAAATGTCACAAGTTGCTATAAAGATCTAGATGAACCAGTTTATGTGCTATTTTGTAGGTGAACTTAGATATACAAATATAGAACGTAATTGGATGAGCAATCAAAAGAACAGTTACAGTTTGATAGCCATTTCAATTTTACCGCCTGGATGTTTCTAATGAGAGCTCTATTGAGCGAAGAGGTCTATAGCAAAATACGTGAAACCGACGCTAAATTAAAGTGACGTATAATGCCATGATAGCATGGTTACCTATGCATTGCACGTATATCTTGTGAACTATCGAGAATAACTAACTTTCAATGTACACGTTTCTGTAAAAAATAAAAAATTGTTTCAAGCGTTCAATGTAACCTCAAATCAACGTCAGTAAGCTAACATTAGTGTATGTTAACTACCCCCCCCCCCTCTTCCATTACCCATAACGAGAAAGGGAATGTTCATTGGTTCATTGGAGTTTGTACCATAAAATACTGAAAATATGTATCACATAAGATTAAACCATCGGGTTTATATTTGAATATATTTTTTGGGGGCTTCCTGCAGTTTCTGTATCTGGTAATTTCGTCTATAACACAGTCGGAGATACTGTGTTTAAGCAGGCAGACTGTTACGGCGGAACACTCGGAGACCGTTTTCGTATCGGAAGTCAAAAGCTCTCGATCTAACAAAACCAACCTCACAGTTTGGTCCGTCTCTTCGAGTTAATGTAACGATCCCAGCCGCTCTCTGTACCTCACCCCTTCGATTTGGACACGTCTGGTTGCTAAGAGTAACAGCCAATAGAAATATACCCCAGGTAATGGCTGCAGGCAATGACTGCCACCATTGGAAGGAAGCTATCAGGTTGATGACAACTCTACAAGGGGCTTCGTGAAAGCTGCTCTGGGAAGACGTAATGTTCAAAGAAAGAAGCTTTCGCTCACGCAGCATGAAGACTACGGGGATTGTCATTTATCCGCTAGGTTTGCTAGAGCTGAGTGTGTACGCTTCTTGTTTGCCTGCCACTCCCATGTGGTAGTTAGTTGTGCGGTGAACACGGACGAGTTTGTTACCGCGTCATTTGGACGAACTTGTACATCAAAACCTGTGGAGAGGTTTCACCCTCAAACTAGAGAACTTTCCCGTGGGACCTAAAACAATTTGTTTGTTTGTTTGTTGTTTGCAAATTGGCTTTGAATACAAGGGACCAATGAAACAAAGTTGTTGACATTGCTTTAATTACATTAATTTCATGTTTCCTTCCTCTTGTCATTCCAAACTGTATTGCTGCTTTTGAAACACGACTGTTTCCGCGGAAATACCCAGCTCAAACCCCGAACAATCCAAAGAGCAGGTGCAACTCCTTTAAAACTATTTTCTTGTTGATAACCTGTATAAACAATAACATAACATTAACACACAGATGGTTGATTGATCATTACTTCGTCTGCTTTTAAATGCATTTTGGGTAGTTCGAAGTGCGTGTCACCTGCTTGTTGCCCGTGGTTACAAAAAGTGATAAGTGAACGCTTATTTACCGCTGTCTGCAGACGATAGCGTTCTCAGATTGTTGAAAGTGGTTCTGGCGCCCTCCCGCGCGTGTCGCTTATAATCTCGTGGCCAAAAACTCGAGCTCAATAGAATAACACCTCGTGAACTGGAGAAATCTTTCGTGCGACTTTAGTTAAGCGACGCGTCTCTTGAAATACAGACGATATACGAAAGAAGTGCATGACTTGAACCAAGATTGACTGTTTAGCGGTTTCTATAATTTTCAAAAGCAATGGCTCAGATGTTTGACCAATACTTATTCAAGGTAAGAGAAATCTCACATAAATCTTTTCTGTTTACAAATTTTATACCACTTATGTAATCTATTCACGTGTGAAGCACTGAAAAAAATAGTGACGGAAAACTGCTGTAATTTGTACAATATGCGCTCTAGTTCTATTATAGTTATGAGTAATCTTTCTTGTTACGAAAACCAGGCACGCGCGTCAACTGACGAATCTAGCAATGTTCAACTGAAATTGTCCAGCAGACAATTCGAGCACGTATTGTGTTTTTTAAAGAAAGATATCCCTTCAGGCTAAATCATACACGTTTAACACTTATGCTTAGTCGAATGTTCTTAAGGAGTGATTCATTATGTTTAGTATTTGAAAAGTGTTTATCACGTAATCACACATACGTTAGTACCAACGACGAAAGTGTTTCGCGTTTCATAAAGAGGAAAAAACCTCTGACAAAATGAGAAATCTTTGTAAAGTTTGTACTTGAACACGCGATATCCTCGTGATAGATGCACTTAAGGCCCGTTTGTATGTGTGTGAGATATTGAAAAACTTATTACAAATATAGCTGTAAGGCATACAAATATATATATATACGTGTATTAAATACAGCATGAAATCCCGAATGTGTTAAATAGTGTTTACGTTTCAGAAAATGATGTTAAACGTAACAACTCACGACAGCCGTATTTTTTTTATTTTTTTTTGGCTTTTGCTATCATGCTTCGATTTTCATCAGTGACTGTAATACTCTTTTTAAAGAGAAGTTATTTAATATATACTCTTTTTATAAAGCTTTATGGAATTACTTGCATGAAATTTACTGAATGTTTTTACTTCTATTTTTCGAGCTTGAGCAATAAATGTCTAATCACTCTCTAGGTAAACTTACTATGATTGATACGAATCCTAAAGTCATCAAAACAAAATACTTGCCATTAACATTTAACCTTTTCTGTACAAAATCTGTTTCACGGAATAAGAAAGAGCAAAGAAAAACCATCATCCTAACAAAATTCATGTTTTGCGATAAGTGTTGATGTTTATTGTAGATTCTGGTTGTTTTATAACTTAGATAAAGTTCTCTAACGCGTGGAGTATAAATGATTTAAACTTTTGTCAATGTTTATTATAGATTTTGGTTGTTTTATAACTTAGATAAAGTTCTCTAACGCATGGAGTATAAATGATTTAAACTTTTGTCAATGTTTATTATAGATTTTGGTTGTTTTATAACTTAGATAAAGTTCTCTAACGCGTGGAGTATAAATTATTTAAACTTTTGTCAATGTTTATTATAGATTTTGGTTGTTTTATAACTTAGGTAAAGTTCTCTAACGCGTGGAGTATAAATTATTTAAACTTTTGTCAATGTTTATTATAGATTTTGGTTGTTTTATAACTTAGGTAAAGTTCTCTAACGCGTGGAGTATAAATTATTTAAACTTTTTACAAAAACTTCTATCTAATTACGAAGGCGTTTCTAGGTAGAATTTGTTAAACATTCTCATTTAGTGGATCATAATTTCATGAAATATTATGATCTGAATCGTGTTGAATCGCTCTTTGTTAACTCTATAGCTGTTCACAAATAAAATGTTGTTGACATTTCTAACAATAATTGAACAGATATCCGATGATAATGTGTACAAAATAGCTTTTCCACTGAGTTCCGTTCTCCGGAACGTACTGCCGACTAGACTACGACGGCTAACAGAGCTCTTTACGCCGGCTGGGCTACTACAGTAAAAGCATATGCTCAATCACTACTTGAAAAAGGTCTTGTCATTAAGGAAATGATGGTAGACAATGTCGTTAGGTAGCGAAATATAAAAATCTGAAGTGTTAGATGAAACATCACAGTATCCATTGATGTTTATTGTAGGATATATGACCAGTGGATAAACTTTCTACAGTTTTTAATACAATGGCACTCGCATTTCTGGTTTGATGTTAGCGAAGAGCTTGTTATAGACCACGTGCGTAAGATCGGCATTCTAATGTTATGTTTTATCGCACTCACTGGTCAAAAATCTTTTACGTTTCGCTAACTTAAACAACTTTGACCACACGTTATTTTTAAACAAAGCTACTTATGTTTGAAATATTGTTTGAACTAATTTCTGCAATAAAAGAATATTTAGCAAATGGCCTCGTCAGATATAGCTTACACCAAACAGAAGTAAATGAAACGTGTAAAGAGCTACCAAGGATGAACATAAATAAATCATCACCTATCTGATAAGAACCTATTCAATTAAATATTTAAATGTATAGGCAACAAGCAACTTCTCGTCATCGTTTAGAGTGTCACCACCACATCACAGCATCATCTACAAAGAAAGAATGTCAACGAAGAAAGAGAGGTGAGTGTTAGTTTTCGATCTTCCTGTTTTTTCCTGGCACTGACTTATCGGCTTGTCCAAACATATGGTGTGTACTGAAAATGAAGGATTCCATAAATGACGTGCACGTTGTCAAAATTCATATCTAATCAATTCTAATTAATAATACTCGTTGATATTATATCGGAATTCAATCTGCACCACACGGAATCGGTGATTCGAACAGTCGCACGTAAAGTCATGGCCAAGACAGTGTTCAAAAGGTGAGATTTTTCTCCAGTTTAAAAAAAAGGCTTCGTTACATATTGATATGATGTTTCTTCATAACAATCACCCTTCACAGAATGACATACCGAATAAGTTGTTGGATCCTTTCAACAGATAACAAACTGAACATAATACAGCTCCTTTATTATTCTGGCTAAAGTGTTGTTACAAATGAAGTTTTTATGGACAGTTTTTGAAATATTTCATCTAAAGATGATTTAAAGAAAGATTGCATTCATATATATTTTAATTCGATTCTTTGATGTTTTATTGAAATTTTAATTCATTACATTCTATGACACGAAGTTACTTTGGGACTTCGGTTTAAAGTCGTAAAGGCTTAATATGTTTCGCGTTAATTGTCTTACCACAAAATACCCGCACTCGGCTGCGGGTTTCAAAGGTCCTCTCTTTATTTACAGAAGCCCAATGTACCGTTCAAGCTCCTCCATTATCCCTAATTACTTTTATAAATAACACAAGAGGATTCCGTACACAAAAACAAATCTCGTTAGGACACCCGCCCATGGTACCTAAACACGTTTACCATATGTGGTCCCTCTGGCCAGTGGCACAGCGGTATGTCTGCGGACTTACAACGCGAGAATCCGGGTTTCGATACCCGTGGTGGGCAGAGCACAGATAACCCATTATGTAGCTTTGTGATTAATTACAAATAAACAAAATTGTCATGAGTGTATGAACATAGTTTCAAACATGGCACCTTGGGAATTTCGAGGGGGTCGACGAATACATAATTCCATACAAGATTGGGGTTCGGCGACCCTGAAAACTTCCTCCTAGATCTCTATCACACTTGGGTGATATTCCTGACTCGTTTTAGCCCCTCGGTAGGTGCTATGCCATATAATAGGGACACCCCTTAGGCATCCCTGAGTCCTCCTGCTACCTCCAAAACTGTGGGGGGTGTTTGTGGACAAATACACAACGCGAATCAATATAAAATTTATAACATGATATTGACAATTTAGTTTTGTTACTGTTGTTACTAATGGAAGCCCCACCCAGTGGCACAGCGGTATGTCTGCGGACTTACAACGCTAGAATCCGGATTTCGATACCCGTGGTGGGCAGAGCACAGAAAACCCATTGTGCTGCTTTGTACTTAACTTCAAACAATCGCAATCGCTAATGGAAGCTTTGTTACACTAAGAATTTTCAACACATGTATACATACAAAGTCAAATATGATGTCTAATTCTTTAAATGTTAAAAAAATTCATATATAATATAATCGCGGAGAACTCTTAATGTAACATTCTCAACCTTTCCTAAATAGTGGCTTATCTGAGCAGCCAAGCAATATTCTGGAACTCGTGCTCAGTTGGTGGTTGGATGAGTATACTGGTCCAATGTATTTCAGTAAATACTAGTAGTGCTCTTATAAATAGTTTTAAATTCAAAATATATTTAAGTGTGTCTTGTTCTGTGCATCACTGCTTGGGAAGCGTTATCTTCAAGGATCCGGCACATCAAGCCATAAGATGCCACATGAAATCCCTGATACATGATATCGTCAGGACTAAAATAATTTCCATATTCTTCCTAGATGTTTCATTTCATAAAGTGTTATAATGTTTCGTAAAAAATATGTAAAAATATCAAGTGGCGTTTTATCAAATTGTTTTTTTTTTATAGAATTTCGCGCAAAGCTGCTCCAAGGCTATCTACGCTAGCCGTCTATAATTTAGAAGAGATAAAATAGAGGGAAGGCAGCTGGTCAACAAAACTCACTGCCAACTCTTGGGCTACTCTTTTACCAATGAATAGTGGGATTGACCGTCACAGTATAATGATCCAACGGCTGAAAGAGCGAGTGTTTTTAGAGATTTTCACTGAATTATCTGTGATTAGGTAGATGTCACAACTGTCACAAAATAATTTAGCTGTAAATGTGTGGGATAAAGAAATACTTTAATGTATAATTGGCAACGATGGGGTTGGTAACTGTATCTTATTTATGATATTCTAGAATGTTTAGCTCCATATAAGGTATGAAATGATTCCTCATTTGTTTTTATTATGTTGTTCTAATTGCGTATCAGTGGTTTATATAACTTTGACGGAAAGTTTGTATCATGGCAAAGAAAAGCTGAATTAGTTGAAACACACAAGAACACCAAATAAACCTCTCACTTAAGTCTTCAACATTGATCGAAGTCAACGATAATATATATATATATCATTCTGAAGAGTTTAACTAAACCCATTTTGAGTGTAATATTTAGTAGATCCTACTAGTACACCAGGTGACGTTTTAATCTCGTTCAATTAATCTACATTTCCGACGCAACAGCTACAAAGTAAACGTTCCGTAAACAAAGCAGAGTCCACTTGAATTTCACTGATACGGTACTATACTATACACAAAAAATATTATTGTAAGTCAC